CTAGAGTCCTTCAAAAGCAATGTTTTATCCCTCAAGAACTTGAAAGATGGGAAAGAGAGAAATTGCCTTTCTGTCCTTTTTCAATGCCCTATCTTTATCAGTTTGCTGCATGCCTAACACTGATGAAAATCTTACTTAAACTAGATCAACCAAAAAGGAAAAAAAAAAAAAAAAAAAAAAAAAGGAGAGAAGGAAATTGATTGGCTCATGTTTCTGAAAATCCCAGGGATTTAGCTTCAGGTACAGTTGGATCCAGGACTCAGAGGGTCTTTCATTCTTTTACTCTCTTTCCTTTTCTCCTTCATCGCTTTACTCTATTTCTTTTATTCTCCAGTAGCGTTTCATTTTAGGTGTCTCTTGGCATATTCCAGGCTCACATCCTTAATGACTCCTGAAGAAAGGGGCTTCTCTTTCCCAGGAGATACAACACAAGTCCTAAAACTGATGCTCAATGTCCACTTCTGAGCCAAATCCTGCAGTCAGGGGTATGCCGTAATGGCCAGGACTGGGTCATGTCCCAACCCTGGCACTGGGGATAAGCCCAACCTTCTAAACCACATGGACTGAGATAGAGGAATGGCTTTCCATGAGAACTCCAGGGAGCATCCCCACAAGGAGAACAGATGCTGGCTGAGCTAAACAAGAAACGTCCACTGTTCTGCTTTTACTTCCTTCTCTGCACCCAGTCTTCCCTTCTCCTTCACCGTATAGTCTGTTCAGAGCATCATTCCTGGGCTCTGTTGGAATCTATCTGAACTCATCTCCTCCATTTCTCAGTGGAACTTTCCAGATCATGGCTCTGTGAGGGACATGCCCCAGCTTGCTGGCCATGCCTGCCAAGTCTTGGCGCATCTTATTCCCAGTGTTGGACACAGTGCCTGCCACAGTTACAGTGTTTGGACAATGTCTGTGGCCTGGCTGGATGAGGCTGGGGGAGCAGAGAGGCCACAGAGCTCTTTTTCATTGCTGGGGTGGACCCAGAACCACTCCATGGTGCTGTCCCACGGCTGTCAGGGAAAGACTCCAGATTCCAGTATGACAGAGCTGTCGTGTTGGGATTTCACTTGACTTTGCTGCTTCTTTCAAGTTGCTAAATTTCTTACAATAGCGTATGCCAAAGGGCTCACCATACATGAAATGTATCCCTTAGTTAAAAGGGCCCCAGAGCCAGGTCTGGGGAAGGAGAGAGAGAAGCCAGGTAAGTCCTACTTGGGAGTAAGATAGAGGAAATATGTCCCAGGGATGACGCTGTCTCCCTACCTGCTGAGGCCTGTGATGTTTTCATGGGGAGAGGGGAGGATGGAGGTGGCACCAGCTGTACTCACACACTGTTCCTGACATGAATGTATAACATGGAACGATTTGAGAATGCTTCACTGGGATGACTCTCAAATGAAAACCTCCACTCCACTGTGGCTGTTTGAACAGTGAGGGCTGTAAAAATGGTCATGTCCTCCCATCTTGATCATATCAGACCTTTGAGCCCTTCTTTTCTTTTCTTTTTTCTTTTATTATTATTATTTTTATTTTGAGGCAGAGTCTCGCTCTGTTGCCAGGTACCAGGCTGGAGTGCAGTGGTGCAGTCTTGGCTCACTGCAACCTCCACCTCCCTGGTTCAAGCAATTCTCCTGCCTCAGCCTCCTGAGTAGCTGGGACTACAGGCATGCACCACCACACCCAGCTAATTTTTGTATTTTTAGTGGAGACGGGGTTTCACCAGGTTGGCCAGAATGGTCTCGATCTCTTGACCTTGTGATCCACCGTCCTCAGCCTCCCAAAGTGCTGGGATTACAGGCGTGAGCCACCGCGCCTGGCCTGAGCCCTTCTTTTTCAAAGGCATCATGAATTTGGAAAAAGTACAAAGCCATGGTTGGATGATAACCTAGGGATTTTTCCTCCCCATAGGTGGAGCTGTTCCCATACAAATCTCCAACAATGTCCTTCCAAGGGTCCTTTTGGGAGTAGTTGGTAAATGGAGCCAGCAGGGACCTAAAGAGCCACTTGCTTTGAGCTACTATTATTAGTGCTGTGTCCTTACAGCCAGCCAAGCAGGGGCCCCACAGCACACAGACCCAGTGGGAGGACTGGGCAGCCCCAACTCATGAAATGCCAATTTAGTGCTACCGGCACTCCTCTGAATATGGGAGAAAATGACTGCTGTCAACTCGGTAACAGTGATGGCCTCAGAGTGCCTGAGAATCTAGTTTAAGACAGACAATCTCCAATAAGCCGACCTAGAAAATTCCTGTCACCACTGCCCCTACACCTCTCTGGGTCTCAGTTTCTTCCCCGGAAAATGAAGGGTGGACCCCGTTGTCTCCAAGTCTTGAGTGTTAACAGCCACACACTAAGATTTGCCTTGCCTGCTTCCTGTACCTGGAAAAGTACAAAAAGAAAAGAGTTATTTACAGACGCTTGAGCAGCCCTCTTCGATCTTGGAGACGGTCCGCCTGTCCACTGACTTCCTGTTGAATACTTACTTTGGGGGTGCTGCAGCTGCAGGGGGAAGCATTTGTGTCATCTCCAACTTTTGTGCTTTAGCTCAGAAAAGGGAGCTTCCACCCATACTTCTGCTCCTTGTCTCTTCCCACCTCCCTCTTGGGAAAGGAGTTGATAATCCAGTGGATCCAAGCCTGACATTCACTGGGGCATTACACTTAGTACAAATGCATTTTTTCATGAGCCCTTTCCTGCTGCAAATAACAGCTTGTAGTGTGTAAGTGCATGCACATATGTTAGAACACATCTCCAGGATAAATTCCCAGCAGAGGAATTTCTGAGTCAAGAACAAATGCATTTAAATTTTTTAATTTTTGTCCTCCCAAAAGGCTGTACCTCATGGCAGAGGGTGCTAATAATCTACCTAATATCCATTCTCCCTTAGTAATCAAAAAACTACATATCTGGGCCTCTCTTGTAAGTGGATGGCCAATGAGATGTAAGCAGACATTTTGAGTAAGATTTTTAAGAAGGTCCCTTTGCTTTTGGACCTTCCTCCACTTTCTGTGTGGATCTCTGTCTTGATGACAGGAGCCATAGAAACCTTGTTATAACCTCAAGGACGGAAGTTGTGTACTAAGTACAGGGATAAGAAAAGCCAGATGGGCTGGGGGTGGTGGCTCACACCTGTAATCCCAGCACTTTGGGAGGCTGAGGCGGGTAGATGACGAGGTCGGGAGTTCGAGACCAGCCTAACCTACATGATGAAACCCTGTCTCTACTAAAAATACAAAAAATTAGCGGGGGTGTGAAGGTGTGCTCCTGTAATCCTAGCTATTTGGGAGGCTGAGGCAGAATTGCTTGAACCTTGGAGGCAGAAGTTGCAGTGAGCCAAGATTGTGCCACTGCATTCCAGCCTAGGTGACAGAGCAAGACTCTGTCTCAAAAAAACATACAAACAAAAAAAACAAATGAGCCTGGGTTTCTGAAAGTCCTTGCAGAGGCTCCAAATAGTTCTGAGCTGTTTCTCCTAAGTAAGCAAACAAAGTCCTAATTGTTCTGAGCTGTCTCAGTCGGGCCTCTACCGCTAAGTGCAGTCCCTAACTGATTCACACTGACTTTCTCACTAACAGTGTATGAAAGCACCTTTTCCCATACACCCTTGCAGGTGCTAGGCCTTCCGATGTATGCTATACGTATATATTTATATAGATGGAGTCTCACTCTGTCATCCAGGCTGGAGTGCAGTGGCGCGATCTCGGCTCACTGCAACCTCTGCCTCCCATTTTCAAGCAATTCTCATTGCCTCAGCCTCTCACATAGCTGGGATTACAGGGGCCCAGCACTACACCCAGCTATTTTTTTTTTATTTTAGTAGAGGTGGGGTTTCACCGTCTCTGGTCTCTAACTTCTGACCTCAAGTGAGGCCAGGGCAAGCCTTGAAAAGAATGTGTATTCTGTTTGGTGGGTGAAGTATTATGTAAATATCAATTAGATTAGGTTGGTTTTAGTGATGAGCTTTTCTGTATCCTTGCTGACTTTCTGTCTAGTGTTCTATCAGTCATTGAGAGAGGGCTGCTGAAGTCTCCAATTACAATTGCAGAGTTGTCTATTTCTAATTATAGTTCTTTCATTTTTTTTATTTTGAGGCTATGTTGTTAGGTGCATTCACATTTAGAATTCTGTCTTCTTGGTGAGTTGACCCTTTTATCATTACATATAATTATCCTTTTTCGTTCCTGGCAATTTTCCTTGCTTTTGATTCTACTCTGTCTGAAAGTAATATCACCCCTTCAGCCTTTCAATTTATTATCATCTAAACAACACTATTCAGCCTTTGCAGTCATTCACAATTATTAGAATTTCTTGGTTAGAGGCTTTTGACTGCAGGTTTTTAAAGGCTTTTGGCTGTGTTGACAAATTGCCCTGCATAAATTTACCGGCTTAATACCTCAACATTTGGGCTAACTTAAAATAATTATAAATTAAAGGCAGGGCTTTCCCAATTTGACAGGTAGAAATCTTATAACTCTGTGGAGGTGGAGTTGGTGGTGGTAGCTGCATCTCTAGATGACTTAAATTCAAAACCAGTCAAGAGATCTAAAATTCATAAATCGAGAAATAAGGGCATATGTATATTCTCAGAGTTCGCGGGGAATGCCAGATGCCACAGTCATAGTAGCCGCCCTTGAGGACTGGATAGCCAGGACCAGACAGTGGGATAAAGTGACAGCTGGTTAATGGAATGGTGCTTTTGTATTTAAGTTCTCTGTAGCATTACAATTTTTAAAAGCATGCAGACGTATTAATTACTTTGACTTTACAAATGACATTTGGTTGTTGTTTAAACTTGCATTTAAATTTATTATCAGAACTCCCATAATTGGGTAATCCTAACACCAAGTAAAATTCAGCCACTCCGGGCGCAAATTGTCACTCCCAACATTCCGCAGGCTGGTGGTGGCGCGCGCTGACCTCGGATGCAAACTACACCTCCCAGGATTCCGCGAGCCAAGAGGGTGGTTGCGGCCAAGGTCTGGGCGACAGAACCCGAGGTTCTGCGCACGCGCACAGTCTCCTTGCCGGGCTCGCCCTCCGGGCAAGCGCACGGCGGACACCTGCAAGCCCGGAGGCGGCGGTGGCTGTGAACCCGGCGGCTCGGCGAAGCCTGCGCCGGCTGCCTGGGCCTCCTGGGCCGGGAGCTGGCGCCGGGGGCGGCGGCGGTGTAGGAAAGCGGCGCCGCGGTGGGGCCTCCTGGACGCGTCGGCGGAGGTGGCTTCAGTCCGGTGGTGCCCCGGCTTCAGGTGAGATGCGCGCGCTCGGGGCTGGCGCGGACTTCGTCACCCGCTTGGGGCTTGGAGTGGAGAGGCAGAACCCCCAACCACCTGAAGGGGAGGAAGCGGTGCCGGGCTCCGGGGTGGGGGGGAGGTTTTAGGACGCCTTCGGGAGCCCGGAGAGTTTGCAAAGGGGAGGAGTGACGTGTGAAGCGAGCTGAGGGAGGCGCGGGAGGTGGGCGGGGTGGGGGTGGACCTTCAGGGTCGGGGGCCGAGGGCCGGGGCAGCGCCCTCAGGCATGCCAGCTGGAGCCCTCAGCTCCAGGCGGGCACTGGCGTAAGGTCCTCAGGCCCTTTTGCTTTGGGAGGTAATGGGTGGTGCGCATTTGGCGCGGGTGGTGGGCAGCCACGCGAGGTGCCCACAGCGGGCTTGAGCCTCCCGAACTGCCTTTGAAGGCAGAACCCAGGCAAGCCTGCGGCTGATCCCTGAGCACGGGCCAGTAGGGCACCTGCCATGTGTGTCCGGTGGTAAGAGCCTGCCACGGCCTGCTTGGCAGTGCTAGGGTAGCCTCTGAAAAAGGAACCCAGTAAACTCCTGACTCCACCTGTGTGTGTGTAGGAACCCATCTCCTGCTCACTGATGGGAATCCTCTGCTAAAGTATATGACCCTGAGGCCGGAGTCCTGCACCAGGTGCAGAGCGACCATTGTCCACTTATTTTATGCCAGCCAACACTGAGAGCCTACTCTTGGGAGAAACAAGGTTCCGCGTGGAAGGGGATGACTTCAGGGTTTTGGGGAGAACTTGGTAGGACTTAGTAGCTAAGAAATAGAGGAGGGTTCTTTCACCAAATGTTTACTGCAATATGTGCCCAGCACTCAAATCCTGGTTCTTCTCTAACTAGCTGTGTGCTCTTGAGCAAGTCACTTATCCTCTCTGAGCCTCTGTTTCTTTTCTCTGTTAAGTGGGGATGAAAAAGTACAGTGCCTTTATCACGAGGTTGCAGTGAGGATGAAATGAGGCAATGCCAGGCAAGTGCTCAGCCCAGTATGTCTAACAGTGAGTGTGCAGCAAATATCAGCAGTTGTGGTGATTAATGATGGAAAGTGTTAGAGATGCTTGGAGTCGAAGTTCATCTTTATTGGGACTAGCTGCCCTCTCTGGCTCTCATGGATCTTGCAGATCTTCCGTCTCATCCTTTGCTATTAGTGATGAGGAATCTCAGTCTCAGATGGTGGCAGAGCTAGGAAAGAGCATAGGTCTCCTCATCCCCAGGGATATTCAGCACATTCCTTACTGAGCCTTCGGCCCCTTGGACGAGGAGAAGAGGAGAATAGAGATCTTCAGCAGAAAGGACGCGGTGCTGGTAGCTGGGCCCACCGTGGCCATGTAAGCATGCTAGTTGGCAAGTTCTTGCTCTAAGCCTTGCTTTAGAAAATATTTAGCAGTAAACAAAGCTCTCTAGTAAATATTGTGCTAACTAGAAAATTAAATCACCAAATCCCCCATTCCCCAAGGGTCCTTGTCAATCTCAGCTTGGTTGTCAGTGGGATACTTTGCCCAGGACCTGCCAATCAGTCATGTGATTCTTAGGGTTTCTTAAACTGGATGAAATAATGAATGTAAAAGGTGGAACCTGCAATTGTCATCATGGGCTTTGGAGTCAGCCTTGGTTTTGAATCCTAACCCCTCCACTTAATCACTGTGAGACATTGTGCAATTCACTTAATGCCTCTAAGCATACTTCCTTAAATGTGAAAGTGAATTAATAGCACTTACTTCAGGTTTGTAGTAGGAAATAATTGAGATAATGCATGTAAAGCAGTTAGCACTGTGCCTGGCTGAGAGTGAAAGCCACTGAACAGGAGCTGTTTTACCATTATTATGATTAATAATAATAATAATATAAAAATAATTGTCAGGCATGGTGCTTTGCCTATGCTGTCTCTTTGAATTCACAGAACCAAACTGTGAAGCAGGCATAATTGCGTTTTTCAAGCCAGGAAATGAAGGCTCGGAGAGGTTAAGAATTGGCCTAAGGTCACATAGCTGCTAAGTGACGGATGGGAACTGATATACTGGAATCTCCAGCTCCACACCTGGTGCCATTTAATTTTTCTTCTCTGCTGCTCATCGTCCTTGCTGTTCTTGCATTCTTGAAGCCCAGTTATGACCTGGAGCAGCCACCAGTGTTGCAGCAGGGAGTCTTCTCACACCACTTGGGTCAGAGGAAGGACCCTGCAGCCTGGCTGTGTTTCCTCTTTCTGGCTGGTGATGGATACATGGTGATGCTGTAGGGGACAGTCCCTGAATGAGTTCACAGGAGGAGGTGTTAGGAAGAGGCAGCCCAGGCAGGCCCTGTGGCCTCTTTAGGGTCGCATCACTGGACGGCAGGACTGGGTGGGACCTGGGAAGCTTGTGTATGAGAAGAAATGTACTTGTTTAGCTCCTGGGATGTGTTCTGGGGCTGCATAGTTCTCTGGGCCCAATCTCTGCTTTGCGCAGGAGAGCATCCCTTAAGCTGTGGATGTGAGGAGAAGGAGCCCCGGACTGAGAGCCAGCATGCTGCCATTTTAATCCTGGCTGCCTGTGAAAGCTCACACTGCCTCTCAAGACCTCTTTTATGAAATAAAGAGTTGGAAGAAATCATCTCTAAGGGCTCTTGTAGCTCTAAAAAGCAGTGGTTTTGTAATTGTAAATTGGTGGCTTAACCCTCTTAGCAAAGCATCAGGGCACATGGGATAATTATCACCCTAGTATATTACCTAGATTCTCCTTCGGGTGAGAGAATGACCACAGCTCCCAAAGCCACCTGCCACAGCCGGGTACTTTCTGCCTGGCTGGGTGGGGAGGAATTACAGCAAGAAGCCTTGGGTTGCTAAGTTACAGTCCAGGGCCTGTGGTTCTGCATTTCCAGGGCCACCGCACCTGCTCTGCCCTTGACTAATAAAAACTCACTGCTCTACAGTCTGCTCTGCCTCTCTGCTATCGGGTGTTACTCCAGGTCTGATGACAGATGAGCACAGTACTTAAGAGCAAAACCTCTGGAGTGAGAGACGGGTTCAAATCCTGGTTCCCCTTCTTGATCTTTAAGACCTTAAGCAAGGTACTTAACCCCACTAAAACTTGTTTTTCTCATTTTAAAAGAAAGTGAGGATTATACTGGTACTGCTTTGGAGGGTGAGGCTTAAATGAAATGGGGCCAGAAAAGGGCGTAAGACAGCACCTCTTGCATAGTAGCTGCTCAGTAAAGTAAGATGATGAGACCATTCATCTCTATCCCTACCCAGGGGCCAACATCCTCTTTCTCTTAGCTAGCCTGGGCAAGGATCAGTCCTTTTGTTTTCTCTGGCTTCCCGTGTCCTCACTGGTACATACTCCAGCACCTATAAGAGAATCAGATCTTTCACTCTGCCAGTGGTGACTGCCGTTGGTACAATCTTATGCTACCAATTTCTCCGTTTTCTCCATTTTGAAAAGGCTAAGAGAGGCCCCTTCTTTGCTGTGTAGTTGCTCCTCAGCCCTGAGCCAAGCCTCAGGCAGGGGTTGGGGACCTGGGCTGCTGTATTGCCCAGTGATGAAACACACCTTGGGGTCCTTTGACAGTGGAGGTTTGTGACAGGAATCATGGCACATCCTGGAGTGGCTTCTGGAGTTACCATAGTCACGCTGGGTCCCAGAGCTTCCAAGTGAGTCACACAGTAGCCATTGTAAGGAACTGGAGAAGCTGTCCAACTTTACTCTGTTCAAGGGCTCCTTTCTCAGGGGACCTGCCTCCTCTCTGCTGGCCTGCAGGTATGGCCATCTCCTTGTCCCCCACTGGTGGCTGCTTTAGACCCATTCATAGTCCATTTAGCTGTGGCTAGGAGACCTGGGGACTTGTTTCTTGCCACTTCAGCACCACAAGTGTGGGAAGGAGTGGGAAGGAGTGGGTTGGGCAGCTTGTCTCAAAAGGGGGCTTAGAGTCTGGCATGCTTCTCAGTCTGCCCCAGAGCTTAGGTTTACGTATCACCTTAGCAAATTGATTCAGAAAAGAAAGAGAATTTGTATACAGTTACCCTCCTCAGGCAGACTTGTTCCAGGACCCCGTACAGATACCAAAATCCAAGGATGCTCAAGTCCCTGTTATAAAATGGCGTCATATTTGCATATAACCTATGCAAGCCACCTGTCTACTTTAAATCATCTCTAAATTCTTTGTAGTACCGAATACAATGTAAATGCTATGTAAATAGTTGTTATACTATATTGTTTTTCAATTGATACTGTTTTTATTGTATTTTTAATTTTTTTTTGAATATTTTTAATCCACAGTTGGTTGAATCTACATATGCAGAATCTGCAGGTACAGAGAGCTGACTGTATAGAGAGAGAATGATAAAACAAAGAGTGTCAAATTAGCAGTTGGTGAATCTGGGTAAGAGTTTGTCCTATACATGCAACTTTTTTGTAAGTTTAAAATTATTTCCAGATGAAAAGAAGATCGCAGACCCTGTAGCCAGCCTACCTGGGTTAGTCTTATCATTGCTTCCTGTGTGAACTTGGCTTTCTAACCTCTCTGAGCTTTGATTTTACCACCTTTAAAATAAACATCGTCATTGCAGAGTGAAGAACCTGGCACCTAGTGATTGGCCAGTGGATGTTAGCTATGATAATGGGAGAGCAAGGAGTTGAGGGTGACACGGTGGTAATGAGACCAAAGAAAAACGCAGCCTAATCCTGTCGCCTCCTTCTGCTTGCTGATGTGGGTGTCTGGCAGGGACCACTGGTGACCTGGCCGCCATAAAGCGTCACCCTGCAGAAGGCTTTACAAGTAGCCACCTGAGCCCATAGGGCTCCACTGATGAAACCAAGTTCTCCTGGCAGCTCTATCCCCTGCCTTCTCTGGCACTTCTGTGCCTGCCCCACAGCCTGGGCTCCCCGGGCTCTACCTGTCTGGGTATGCAGTGCCCATTGAACTGCACATGGCTTTGGGCCTGACCATCACTGCCCATGGTTTGGAGGCCTCATGGTTTGCTGGACATATTGGAGAAGTAGACAGTGATGCTTGCTGTGGACAGATCTGTAGCCATCATGAGTAATGGGGACATGTAGACACATGACAGAGATGCTCATCTTATCCTCTGCCACCACCAAAACACCTCCAAAACCTTGCTAAAAACTCACCCCCCAGCCAGCTTCCCTGGACGATTTCCTGTTGTGCACATTTCCTCGTGTTTCTTTGTGAATGTTTTATGCTTCTTCCTGTAGTGGGTGTCTTTGGACTCTCCTGATCAGTTCAACCCTCTCAAACTGGGCCTGAGGGTCCATCTGGATCTGTGTACACATTGAGGTCTGAGAATTCCCTGCAAGAATTGTTTTCATCTGATTTTGTATTTTCACCTAGAATACCTGGTGTAGGCGTGTTCTGCGTTACATCTGTGAGCTACACAAACAGGTTCCCACCGTTCTGTTCCCTGTTTGTGTCCCTGTTTATGACCTCAGTGGTACACATTGATACCAGAGAGGACCAATACAGGCACATGTCACTTCCAAGTGACCCATTTGTGCTCAGCAAACACCAGATGACATGGCAGGCTGTGTGGCAAGCAAAGGTTTCTGCATTATTTGGAGGCTGAAAACCGGTGAAAGGGTTGCAGATGAGCTGGTGGAAGGCAGAACATCCTACCCCACACTCAAGCCTTGGTTTATCCACACTAACATCACCTGTCTCACCAAAGTAGTACAAACTTGAATTCTGTTGGACTTTTTTCCTCCTTTGAACAGATTCCTTTTCTGTTGTTAAGGCAATATAGTCACAGTCATCGGCTATTGACAGTGGATTCATGTCTCCAGCTTTGACTTTGCTTTGCTCTTTATTCTAAAGCAAGAAGATATGACCCATGTCAAAGTTTCAATCTAAGAATGTGAACGATTAAATGTTAAATATGCCTCAGTATTTAAACTTGTTAAGTTTTACAAGAACCACTCAGAGGCTGCCAAGATTTTGCCAAAAGGTAAATACCTTGGTCAGAAAACCTGATCTATAAATGCCTAAACTTATCAATAGTATTAGGTTAATATTTAACTTAGGAGCAAATGTAAGCATTATGTTATTAATACCAGTTCCATGTACTACTGACAACCAAAAACAAAAACAAAAAAAAAAAAGGAGAGGGAAAGAGATCATTCTGAGGATAAGCTTGAGTTAGTGAAACATGTTTACTCCTTGCTAATTCACAACATGTAAGACAACACAGTAATACAGGACTGAAAGCTTCCACAATCCAGCACTAGTACTTCAGGCTGCATTTAGGACAAAAATGCTTTTCAGTGACAAACTAAGGGATTCTATAATTTTCAGTTGGAAGTGTGAACAATCCTTAAAAGTCAAATTGCTATAAAAGTAATATAAAACCTTCTCTGCTGTTGCTGACCCTTTCCTGGCCTGGGCCCTGCCTGATCTTCTGCATCCTGGGTCTGACAGGTGCTAGCTGGCTGGTCCCTCCACCTCTGTAACCCTTCTCATGGAGGAGTGATCGGTGAGCAGCTGGTTCTGGCAGTCATGCAACTGGGAACCCTGGCACGGGCCATGGTGAGACCAGCAGGACGGGGGATTTGCTTTAGACCAGAGCTTGCAAATGAGCATCTGTTTTTATCAGGCAGCAGTGAGGCCAGCAGCACCAGCCCTGGTTGCATATTGTCTTCACTTAATTTGAATAAGTGCCAGAAGTTACAAATTAGGACATTTCACACTTTAAATGAACTTCTTGCTTCTCTAGGTAAACAGAAGAGTATTGCTATGGACTCAATTGTGTTCCTCCCAAATTTATATGTTGAAGCACTAACCTCCATTATGATTGTATTTAGAGATAGGTCGTTCTAATAATGCAGCTTAAATGAGGTCATAAGGGTGGGACCCTAATCTGATAGAACTGGTGTCCTTATAAGAAGAGGAAAAGAGATCAGAGTGTTTCTCTCTCTCTCCCCACCTCCTTCCCCCCACTTCCTGTCTGCTTCCCTTTCTCCCCACTCACCTGCCCATCTCTTCCCTCCACCCTACACAGAGAAGAGGCCATCTACGAGCCAGGAAGAGAGGCCTCACCAGAAACCAACCCTGACAGAACGGTGAGAAAATTGTGTCGTTTAAGGCACCCAGTCTGGTATTTTGTTATGGCAGCCTAACCAGACTGATACAGATAAGTCCTACCAGGCTGGTTTCCCACCATTCCCTCATCAGCTGGCATTTGGTGTTCAGTCACCAGGTCACACAGCCCACCCTCGGCTTTACTTTCTCCATTGGCTCTGGCCCTAGCAGGCATGTGAGGGTGCACCTCCTACTCTGGGCCCAGAATTCCTAGGGCTTTTACTCCTTGTCAAACTTCAAGGCCTTTATGGGCTTTTCTGTGCCCATGTCTGGGGCTGGCCAGGGCCCCAGAAGTACAGTCTGTACCCAGCACGAATGATTAGCCTCACATGGTGACCCCCCCACAGGCAAGTGGCCCTACCCCAGCTTCCCAGCTGTTACTGGGGTCTGCAAGTATGACAGCAATATTGACACCATCCTCCAATGCTTAGAACAGCTGGAATCCTAGAAAGGAGGATTCATAAAATCTGGGAATCTGATAACATTTAGCTGCTCTTGGGAGCTTAGTAAAGTGGTTTGGCAGAGTGAATTGGTGGCTTCCTCCTGTCTGCCTCAGTTTCTAAAGGATTTTCTAGGCATATTTTTAATCTCTTGTTGATTTCTTTTTTCTCTTTCTTTTGAAAAAATTTTTGTTTTATCATGCTTCATCCTGGCTGAGCCACTAAGCTCTTTGTCCCCACTCCAGTTGGGCTGTAAATTTGGTGCCCAACACAGAGGAGGCAGAGGCAGATAAACATGGTGTTGGAGTACCCACCCTGGTCTGTGTGGTCCTGGAATGCCGGGAAGGTGAGGTCCAAATGATGCCTGGGCTGTTAACATAAGACAGTGCTTAGAATCCATGGTCAAATCCTGCCTTCATTCTGTACACGTTAAGGAACTTGGACACATTTACTTAGCTTCTCCCAGCCTCTGTGTCCCAATCTATAAAATGGGGTAATAGAAATAGTGTTAGCCTCTTAATATTGGTTGGAAGATCAAATGAGAAAATATACATGCAGTGTTTAGTACACTGGCTGGAACATAAAGTGTTGGAGGCTGGTGGCTTTGAGTATGTTTCAAGGTAAGAGTGGGTTCGTATTTAATAGCTGTTGGTAATCTGGGAATCAGTTTTAGGTGCTGACTGGATCCTTGGTAGCAGGATGGGACAGGAGGTACAGCACAGGAATCAGCTGCTGGTCCCAGAGCAGTGGAGGGGCTGAGTAAGAGGGTATGAGTAAGAGGACTGATGGGAAGAGGCAGCTTTTCCTAGTTTGATTTCTTCTGCTTTTCTAAAGGAAATGAAACAAAGATCAAGGTTGTCAGGTCCCCTTTGAAGCTTTTTTGTCTTCTTCAAGAGTTTCGCCACTGAGCACTGTGATTGCATCTACCCAGGATTCACTCATCTTCCCTTCTCCCTGCCCCGTAGCCTGATGACTCTCAGCTGGTAATCCAGAGACATTCTCTGGTCATTGTCATGGGTCCAGGAAGGGACTGGGCTGCAAAGCAGGTGGGATGTGTGTGCCCTTATTTGAGCTTGATCCTCCCTGATTGAGTCCTCTGAATGCCTGAGATGTTTCTCTTCTCTGCTCCTTGCCTCACTTTAATGAAGAGACTGAGTCTTCTCTATCTTGAGGGTGGTTTTCAACAGTTTTAGAGTCCAAGAACACTGGGTTAAGATCTAAGCTTCACACCTGTTGTAGCCTGGGGCAAATCACGGAACCTCCCCAACCTTCAGTTCCCCGTCTAAAAATAGGGAATAATGGTACTTCATAGGATTGGGGTGAGTACACAGTGGGACACTTTAGGGCGAGACAGCACTGAAGCACTGAAGCAAGCGGCTGTCCTGGCTTGCACAGGGGTAAGGCTGGAGGACGCTTTATTAGGGCACCTGTCATGTCCTTGCCCAAGCAGGAAAAGGGCTGATTTGTTTTCTTTTTCTCTGTGTGGAATGGCTCATGTCAAAGACCATCTGTCTTGTACAGATCCCATCTTGTTGGAGGCTCCATAAATCCAGAGGGTGGTAGGGTCCTTTGCTCATCAGTGACCATCAGGCCTTCATGCCCACCTGTGCATCCTAAAGAATCAACCTCGGTTTTCAGAAAGGCACTAAGAAGAGACAAAATGTATTATCCTAGGTGGCCCATGCCTCTTAAGTGCCACCTCTTATCTTCTCATGACAAGACTGTCTGGGCAGCCCTTGTCTCTGAGAGACAGCACAGGTAGAGATGCTTGGGGTTGAATCCTGGACTGTCAACACATGGCTCAGCCATTGAGCCTTTCTCTGGATGGAAGATGGAGACATAGTATACCAC